GCGTTGGGTACCACGCATGGGGCAAGATCTCATCTGGATGCCAATCGCATGGCACTCAGTTGGGCCCCGCGTGACATCACGCAGTGGAGGACGACATCCCTTTTGAACACACGCAAGACAACGGACTTGGACCCATCTGGGCTATTATCGATGCCTTTTACGCTTGGCGCCACACCGGGAAGTCGAGTCCCTGCCTGGATGCTTGTATGGCCGTGCTCCGTTGGACCCCCACGGGCCCAGAAAACTGTGTCAGTTCCAGATGTTGCAGCACCTATGGGGATGATGTCCCGTTTGGTTATGTAGGAGTTTAACAAGTGGCAACAGGCCTACGTTTTGCAGCTCCTCAGGGAGTGGCCACGTTGGACACATACGACGGCGGACGTTTGAACCCACCAGGAGACGGCTCTGCGTTTGATGCCACCCGTGGGGAGACCACAAGGGGCCGGTACCACTACTCCTCGGACCTGTCCCGGGATGCGTTTTCATCAAAATTACGAAGCGAACCCAGCGGTGGCGACGAGGGTCTCCGAGGAGGCCCCCAAAAAGGGGAAACGAGCGAAGGGTAGAGGTATGGGTACCTTTTCCTCTTCTGAATCCGTCGGGGAGGGGGGGTGTCGGTGTGGGGGGGGGCTCGGTGTTGGGGGGAGGAGCGAATCGCCTCAGGATGTCTGTGCTGCGGAGCTCCGGACTCGCCCCCCCCCCCCCCCCCAGCGGTGCAGGAAGTGGCGGCGGCAGTGTCGAACCTTTGCAGCTGTCACGGGGGCCAGGCCGCGTCTGGGGGCCTCAGGAGGGGGCGACAGATCTGCGCCTGCGCTCGTGAGGCAAGCGAGCGCCCGTGATGCAGAAGAGGTTCGTGAGGCAAGGTCCAGCGGTTGGCTGCCCAAGCGAGGTCACGCCTGGCTGCCCGCATTGCGCAGCCCCGCCGAGCCTCCCGTGGCCCAGGACGCGTCGACGGCTCGCCGCTGATGTCTCGCTCGCAGTCGCCGAGCTCCCTCGAAACAAACTTACTGTTTAGAGGAGACATGTCGTCGTTTTCTGTATTAGCATTTTCCTACTAATCAGCGCGGGCCCTCGCCCCGCCCCTCCCCCCACATGGAGTAGATCTTGGCTGTTTTGGGCGCCTGTTTCAGGCAAGGAGTCGCTCCCACAGGAAGCACTGTTGCAAACAGTCGCGTTAAGCAGAGGTCCAGAGCCAGACCCCCCCACCTCTCCCTCCCTTCCGCCCAAAGTCGAAACGCCGAAAAAGAACATGCTCACCACGCAGCTCTGATAAGATGCACTCCCAGGGGGGCTATCTTGACGCACCCCTATCTGGGATGGCCGCCATCTCTGTATATCCATGGGTTGCGCCCCTGAGTTTGCCAATCGAAAGTCCAATTTAGGCATTGGGGTCGCCATGCTCCTCGCTTTCAGGTGCATGGTTGGCAGCACCTAGGGGGAGCCAACGATCACGAATATAGCAAATTCACAACGCAGGGCTGAGGATTGAGGAGAAGAGGGGGAGGAGAAGACAGAGGAGGGCAAGGAGAGGGAGAATGTAAATGATCGCGGCAGCAATGACTTTATTCAAAACGAGGGTCCAACCACAGGAAGTGAAGTGAAGTGAAGTGTTGCCATCGCCGGGAACGGCCAGCATCCCTGCAAGAAGTGCAGGTGCGCATGTAGCACTCAGGCCCTCTACGAAGGTCACTGAATGCGAGGCTGTGCCGAATTCGGCGTGACACATCATCTGTTTGCTCAGGGCCCGACTGTAGAAACTCCTGCTCGTTCTCCTGCCGCGCAAACTCGCTGGATACCTCAAGTGCCCAAGAGATCCAGCTGGCACATTTTTGCTTAGGATGCTGGAACATCTTTCCATATGTTGAGCCTCCAATGCTGGGAACGAGCAAGGGATCCGGTTGCCCCCTTTGATCCTTGATTGTGCGACGCATGAAGCGTGGTTTCTACAGTGAGGCTTTTGCTTGATCCACCACGTCTCTGTGATGCTGGTTCGATTCCCGGGCTGTTTCCACTTTACCTTGAGGTGTTATTCTGCCCAGCATGCAACTCTTGCTTTCCTTGTTTTGTCCGCGGCAACGCCCGTCGCTTTCCAGGTGCATGACACGTTGCTTTCCATCCCGACTGACTTGTTTGTTCTTCATCCTTTTTTTTTCGCCGGGCGGGATCTGTAGCCTTGCCAGTTGGGCTCAACCATGCGGCACAGGCTGGCCACCGAAACTGTATTTTGCACTGTGGGTGCCAGAACCTTCCATTACATCCGTTCCGCACTGCCAATTACGATAGCTTAGCACCATGTCCGAGACCGAGACCGGGCCCAAGATGTTCAGGTATGGCAAGATCTTGTTCTTTTGCACAATGTACATCGTTCTAAGTGGAGGGCTTATCAACTTCAACAAGTTCTTGGTGCATGAGGGGCGGTTCCCACACCCTATGGCGCTTACGGCGATTCACATGTTCACCAGTTTCGTGCTTACGTCCATCATCCTCACTGCGAAACCATCCATGATGCCTAGCGTGGATAGGTGCAGGGGCAAACTGCTGGATCTCTACAAGCACCTCATCCCCATCGGCTTCTTCTTCGCCGTGGTGCTGTACGGATCCAACAAGGCGATCATGTACTGCAGCGTGGCGTTCCTGCAATTCATGAAGGAGACCAATGTCGTGTTCGTCTTCCTCTTCTCGGCCATTGCGGGCCTGCAGACCGTGAACAGGCAGCGCTTGTTCGTCATCGCCTGGGTCATCTCGGGTTCGACGCTGTGCGTGTCTGGCGAGCTGAACTTCGTCTTGGCAGGCTTTGTCCTGCAGGCCGTTGCGCAGTTCGCAGAGTGCCTGCGCGCCGTCATCGCGGAGATGATTCTCACCGGCAGCGACTACAAGTTGGACTCGCTCAGTTATGCATTCTTCATTTCGCCCGTCTGCCTGGTTGTGCTCATAATCGGCAACATCGTCACATGGAACAGCGATATCCTGCCCGACGCGGCCGCAATGTGGTACCTACTGGTCCCGAACGCGTGCATCGCGGTCTGCCTCAACATCACCATCGCGCAGGTGATCAAAGAGACGTCCGCCGTCGGTTTCATGATCACCGGCATTGTCAAGGACATCATCCTGGTCTGCTTTTCGTCCGCGGTGTTTCACGACACCATCCAGCGGCAGCAGTGGTGCGCGTTCATGCTGACGCTCAGCGGGGTGTTCTTCTGGTCGTACATGAAGATTGCCCCTCGGTCCGGGCTGGTCACGACCTTCGAGAAGATGCTGGGGGTCGGGAGCTGGCCCTGCCCGGGCGAGCCGCTCGGAGCACTGGAGGCGAAGAAGGCCGAGGCGACGCCTCTGGTGCCGAAGAGCGCGTGAGGCGGCCCCGCCGCCCCGCGGCCGACGGGCCGCGTGTTTAGCTCCGTCCGTTTTGATGGCCCGTTGTAGACCCCCACCTCTCACGCGCTCTTGCATCGATGGATATATCCGTAATAGAGAAGTCTGCGGGTGGAACTCATGGCGGCGATGGAATGTCCTCATGTTGCGCCATCCGTGTCCCAGGCAGGGGGTTGGGGGGGGAAGTGTCTTCACTGAGATAACGTGTGAGTTTTGGTCAGAAGATGCCCGCTCCCTTAGTACATCACCGCCGTGTCTTGTCTCTCCCAAGTGGTCGATTACTGATGAGAGCTTTGTGTTGTTTCATATGCTGTTGTTTTTTGCGTCACTTGAGGCGGGTGGCTTGGGTGGTGCGTTTAGAGTCTCGGGAGGGGGGGGAGCAGCATCGCCGTCCACAGGGCGCCCTCGAAGTAAACGTGTCTAGAGGACCCTGGGGGAAATGTGAATCTTCGTGCGTCGTTGGTTCTCTCCCGGAAAAAAAAACTGAAAGATGGAGACTTCGTAAAGCGGATCGGGCCGCAGATCCTTCTGAGGTCATCCGGCACGTCTTCGATGGGCAGGTCCCTTGCTGCTGTTCCGCCTGCACCTGCGAGAAGGCAACCTGAAGCCTACTGGGTCCCCCACCAGCGCTCTTCTTCTTTATGGCCCAGTCAGAACACTGGATTCCGCACTACGAATTTGAACTCTCGAGGCCTCTCTGCATCAGTCCACGGGGGCCACGGAACCATTCAGTAGAACATGGCCGACTCCTGTCGCTCTGTGCTGCCGCTGGTACTGTCGGATCTCAAGAAGCGCAGTGGCACGAGGATGACCTGCGGGAAGGGAGGACACGGGACTTTGGCAACATGTTGCGACTTATTTTGTCATTATGTCATCTGATGCGTATTCGAAGCTCCAGTCGCGGTTTGTCCATGCACTGCGGCGGGCCTGATGGTTAAGAAGCGTGAGCCTTCTTGTGTTTGGGACCCCCCTTTGTTTCATTGATTTCTTGTCACAGTCGCTTCTTCATCACAGGTACCCCGCTAAAGTCCCAGACCTTGCATAGGCCGCTCGATGTATGCTCAAAGTGCTTCTGTCCTTCCCCCTCATCTTTCCTCATCGCTGCTCTTCCTCATTATCTTCTAACTCGTCCTCTTCCTCCTCCTTCTCCTCCAGTGCAGAGTGCAGAAGTTCTCGGCACGAGCGGGATTTTTTCGGCGCGACCATCGTTTTTCCGTCGCAGTGCTAGTCCCCTGATTTCCTGGCCGGAATCGTTGTGGGTCCCGCCCGAGAAGGCCCGCTCGCAGGTTGTAGGGGTCGGTGTCTCCAGGATTCCAGAATGCAAAATCTCACACTGAGCGTGAATAACATCTCTTCCTCTAGTTCCCTTCCTTTACTTCCCTCCTCTTCTTCCTCCTCTTAGGACGGGAAGACCCGGCAGATCATCATGAACGCCTCTTGCGTCCGAGGCCCCAAGAACGAGGTCCTCTGCGTGCTGGGCGTGGCGCAGGATGTGACGGAAGCCAAGGCCATTGCAAGCAGACACAATTTCAGGAAGAGACGGGGGATTCAGACCAGGACAAGGGGATCCATCAGATAAGGCTTGCAGCTGCCTTACATGTGGCCGCAAGTCTCTAGGCCTCCTAGATGGGGGTCGGAGTAGATGAGGTCGGAAGATCGCGCCGCATCGCCGATGCATCGCCGATGCGGCTCGATGTGGAGCCCGATTTGCTTCACGTCGACTTCGCCGATGCATCGCCTACGTCGACGACGCATTGCTGGTGCATCGCCGATGTATCGCTGATGCATCGTCGATGTATCGGTGATGCGGCGCGATCCTCCGACCCCTTCTACTCCGACCCCATCTGGGAGGCCTCTAAAGTCGTTGCCAACTCTCAGCCCCCACCTCCCGCCAAAATGCATTTCGGCCCCCACTCGGGCCTTTCTTGTTTGTGCTTCGGTCGTTCCTTCCGCCGCCATCGATCCCTCACTCGCCTGGGAGGCAGACCGCTGTCTGCATTCCTGTGGGGGGACCTGGGCTTTCGGACCCAGGCCCCTCCCAGAGCCCGCACTAATCCCCCCAGCCTTTTGAGCTCCTCCCTCCTCCCTCCTCCCTCCTCCTCCCCCGGTCCTCGTCCCCTCGTCCTTCCCCCCTTCTCCCTCCTGGCTCCTGCCCGCCGGCGGCTGGCGGCCCTCGGGACCGTCGTGCCTCCTCCCGCCTGCTCTCTGCCCCCACCCCACCCCGCCCCTCGCCCCCACCTGGGCCCCTCCCCTCCGCCTCCCCCTGTCCCCACCTCCCTCCATCTCCCCTCCTCCCTCGCCCCTGGGCCACTCCTCCCCCCCCCCCCCCACCCCCTTGTTCACCACCCACCAGGCCCCCCCAACCCAACCCGAAGGCCTCCCTTTGCCCTCGATCTCCAGTAAGAGGGGGTGGGGGTCGGGGAGCATGGAGAAAACTCATGGAACCTGTACCCCCCAGCCCGAAATTCGGGCCTTCAGGTTGAGTTGGGGTGGTCTGGTAGGCAGTCTTAAGTCGGGCCTGTCCCTCTACAGGAGGAACGTTACACAATGGTCCAACACCAGTCTGGGGACGACTCGTTGGGCTTCTTTTTCGACCATTTTGGCGCATTTTTTTGGCTATTTGTATTTCTCGTCCAACATCCCCCTGGGACGACTCTTTGGGTTTCTTTTTTGCTATTTGTAAAATTGTCATCTAGGGACGACTCTTTGGGTTTTTTTCGATAATTTGAGCGCATTTGTGGGTTATTTGTATTTCTCGTCCAACACCCCCCTGTAGGAGGACAGGCCCGACCTCGAGGCGGTCTCTCGCGCCCGCCTCCGCCCAGAGGCGTCATGGGCAGGCCGGGCGCACCCCCCCCCGGAGCCGGCGTGCCCCGGAGCGGCGGCCTCGGGGCCCCCTCCTCGGGGCGCCCAGGACCGGCCGCGCTCGGGGCGCCCCCCGCGGGGCCCCCCCTCGGGGCGCCCCCGCCGTGGCCGGAGCCTCTCGAGCAGGGGGAGCAAAAAAAAACGAAGGATTGCAACAAAAAACCGAAGGATTGCAACAAAAACGAAGGATTGCAAAAAAAACGAAGGATTGCAATCCTTCGGTTTTTTTTGCAATCCTTCGGTTTTTTTTTGCAATCCTTCGATGCGGACCCGATGTGCAGTCGGCCCGCGCAGGGAGGGCAGGCATCCCTCACAAGGGCACCCATTGCATCCCTGCCTCCCGGGTCCCTCCTTGGACGCTTTCGTGGGCCGCGCGCCCCACTCGGAGCGCCTCGAAGTGGGCGGCCAAGGCCCTTGCATCCTTGCCGCGCATCATTACTATCCGGGCTGACTGTACCCCAAGCTTGCCTTTCCGCAAAATTGCCGAAGGAACACGTCGCAGTCCACGAACGAACGTTCGACTTTTTCCCTTCCTAGGTGCGACGATGAATCAATTTCGGGGCACATCAGCTCTGCAGTGGATCCCCTACTCGAGCCCTGGCCCCTGCGACACCTCACTGGGGAGCACGTCGTCCTGAGCGGGCGCCTGGCCCTGCCCAAAGAATCGCCCACCCGGGCCTCTCACGGGGCGCGCCTCTTGGACTCGGACCCACGGGAGCAGCCCGTGGCCGTGGCCGCGAGAGTTCCTCGCTCTGAGGCCCAGAGAGGGGCCCAGGAACGCCCAGGACCGAACCCCAGATCCGATCCTCGATCCTCGCCAGGGGCGCGTTTCGACTTGGACCACAGGGGCAGCCCGTGCCGTGTGGCCGCGAGAGTTCCTCGCTCTGAGGCCCAGAGGGAGGCCCAGGAACGTCCAGGACCGAAGCCAGATCCGATCCTCGATCCTCGCCAGGGGCGCGTTTGGACTTGGACCACAGGGGCAGCCCGTGCCGTGGCCGCGAGAGTTCCTCGCTCTGAGGCCAAGAGGGAGGCCCAGGAACGCCCAGGACCGAAGCCAGATCCGATCCTCGATTCTCGCCAGGGGCGCGTTTGGACTTGGACCACAGGAACAGCCCGTGCCGTGTGCCACGAAGCCCTCGCTCTCTCGCTCGGGGCGCGTTTGGACTTGGACCACAGGAGGGAGGTCCGATCCTCGATTCTCGCCAGGGGCGCACGGGAAAGCCCGTGCCGTGTGGCCACGGGAAGCCCTCGCTCTGAGGCCAAGAG